TATTCATGCTATTGATATCTAGCAAGCCCCACCCACTGAAGGTAGAGGCAGGTCCGGCACAGAGTCACCGAGGCATTGTCTCGGCTCACCGAGGCATTGTCTCGGCACAATCAAGCCACTCGTTTAAAGTTTCTGACAATACAGCTGGCTGCTGGGACGCGGTGGGTGGGGGTGGGTGGTCGCTCTGAAGCCAGGCGTCGGCCAGATCGCCGACTGGAGGCCGCAGATTGCTTTTCAACAAACACAAACATCGGCCTGCTGACGCCATTCAGCTGAGCCCGTGCGCCTGACAGTTGGAGGTATTCCCAGGACAAAAGCCAAAGCTGTTACGCACGGGAAGGGACGCCACGTTCCCACTAAGGAAAGAACTGACGGTTTAACTAGCATCCGATTGCTGCGCCTTGAGCTAATGGCTTTGCGGGAGTTGGAAGGTACCGTGGTCTGTCAGAGAGCGTGTCCGTGACCGCGAAGACCCTGACAAGGTGATAAAGCTGCCTGCCAGGAGGCCGGGAAGTCTGGGTAAATTTACTGGTACAGGCAACTGTAAGTGGCGGAGCAGAAAACAAATATCCCTCAAGTGAGAATTGGACACAGTCACACAGGTGATTTGAGCTGCAAAACAGCACCGTTTCTCTGTTCCTCAAGTCTGTTAATATTCATTAACCTGGATGACCGGCTGTCCTGTTGTGGGCTGTACTACTCAAATATATGCATGTTGTCTTTATTCTTCATTGTATCTATGGAAACTTTCTGCACTGCACTACTTGAATTTGCACAAACCACTGCATGCATCACATCCCTTGCATTTACTCCTCTCTGTTGGGTATCTTGTGTTTATTACCTGTCAGCATTAAATCCTAATAATTAGTTGTCTATTGTTGCTGTGTCTCCAACAGTAGCAAGCTGTGCCAACAGAAATTGGCAGGAAGTGGCAAGAAAGACTCTGATTCTGGTTTCATCGCTATGAAATGACAGCTTCCAAACATTCCAAACAACATAACAGAATCTGAAACATGTGTTTGATCCTATTTAAGGAAATATACCTCATACTTATCAAAGCAAAATGCCTAATTTACTCCATTAGCTGGTGTCTTGGATTTGCTTATTCCTTTTGCAGTTATTTGCAGTTTGTCAGCAGTTTGTAGGAAGACTAAAGAGAATGAATAAAATATATCTGTGCAAATATTGCTTTCTTTTCACGGTGTTTATCTGGCAATCAAGTAGGTAATATTCATATTATTTAAGGCAAGATTTCAAAAACCGAAAATAACAATGATAAAGAGATATACAATCCTCCAAATAAAAAATACACATTATAAAATAAAAATTTGTGGAAAATTATCGAATATAAACATTCCAGGATCTTGGGATGCATTAACGGTCGAGCAAGTTCCACTTCGGATCCCAGGTCTGGCTGCTTTCCACATAAACACAAGAGAAAGTTCCTGTAGAAAACCCTTGACTCGCCACTTCCTGTGATCTGACTCACGAGCCCAGATGGCGGTCATTACGGAACCACCGCCAAGTCTGGAAGTCTTTGATTTGACGGCAAGTCGGTATGTGCAACACCCCTCTGTGGGGCGGTGGCGGACACACAATGGACGTGGACGATGTGTCTGGGGAGGCGGCGGAGAGTGTGGGAGCCGATGCGAGGAAAATGGAAATGTGTCCGGGAAATGCCTGCCTTGTTTTCGTAACCCCCGGTACAGCGCACATGTTAAGGGTCATGAGGTAGTGCTGCTTCATAGCACTATTCCGAGTGTCTTGTTAATAAAGCACAGATGCAAAATGGAAAGAATGTTTCTCCAATGTCAATACTGCAGTAAATCAAAACCGTACCAACCCGTAAAAGCACTCCCTTCGCTTCAGGAGACCATCCTGTAAAATGTACAGGCAACAGTATAATAACAATCAAAAACTGTATTAAAAATAACATATAAAACCTTGTGTACAAAACTAAAAATGAAAATTCACCATTGATATTGTGGGGGAAAAAATGAACTGTATAGAATCTATTGAAGCTCCCTGCAAAGGAAGAGTTTCCTGGAATTCCCCGGAAGGTTATGACCTCTGACCTTCCCTAAAGTACCCAACAAATGTCCCATTCCATCTTCACAATTTCTCACAAAAAAAGCTCTTTGAATAAATCTTTCCCAGGGTCTGTTTGTCAGAAGTTTTTTTTTCTTTTTTTTTTTGGGGGGGGGGGGTCGGGGCATTGAGCACACCACTCTTCAAGGTATGCGTGTTCTGTTCCTTCTCAAATACAGTCTCACAATTTACATTAGTAAAGCACTAACTGTCTAATGCTAGTGAGTCAACAGCCTGGTACTAAGAAGCATATGCAGCCTGAGTCTTTAATTTCATTGTAAGAGCCCCAGGAAACACATTTTGATTTGAGTTATTTCTAGTAGGGTCCCAAGATGCGGGGAGTCATCCCTGATTGTATTAAGGTTCTTTTAAGAAGCCTTTGACCTCGACTCCATCCTGATAATGAAACATACTGATCTACCCTGTAGCAAATCATCCACACAACAACTGTCACCTGTCCATTGCCAGGGCATGACCTGCCAAAAATCAACTTCGTGACACATGCCGGACCCTCTACTTCTGTTGGAGAAAGGGTTGAGAATGCGTAAGTTTGCATAAACATACCAATTTTGGCATAACACCCAGTTTCCTTCCAGAAATTGGCACAAAATATTCCAAGAAATACACATTCCACATTGGGTGTAATCAGCATTGTTCTGTGGTATAGCTGACAAAATAAAACCGTGGGAGTGTTGCGGTTCCGCAGGTTTGGCCTCTATACCCGGGATCGGAAGGTCACCAGTTCAAATCCCCAAGTTGGCAGAGTGATTTCATCATTTGGCCCTTGAGCGATGTGCTTAACTCCAACTGCTTCAGGGACCAGTTCATCCTGCTCTATCAATTGTAAATAGCGTTCATTAAAAATGTCTGTTAAGTAAAAGTAAATTATCTTAAATGATTCAGGAGCAAACAATCACTGTTATGTTCTGAGAGTGTTAGCATCCATTCTGGGTTTGTCATTCATATTGTATGACATTATGCTCTCTTGAAAAGATTTGCAAAAAAAAGCTTAGCCGTGAGGATATGATTAGATGGAATTGTATGGCACAAATAATGTGACAGTGTTTTTTATATAGTCTAAATGTAGATTGTATTTTAAAAACACTGATGCCAGTCTACAACAGGACTCAGACTGTAGTCTTTTGTTTTAATGAATTAGAGAAGTGGCAGGGTTCCACAGCTTAGAGAGATGGAAAGTTGTGGTACAATTGTACAGTAATTAGACTGAAACATACTGATCTAAAAAATGTGGAAATGTGATTATTCACCCTTACAAGAATATCAGCAATGAAGCTGTAAACCAAAATCAGAACTGCACAGTGGTTAGCACAGTTGCCTCATGCTTTTAAGGTTCTGGGACTCATATATGTTAACCTTGTTAACAGTACCAGTCCCAGCCAAGGTGGCGCCCTAGGCGAACAGCACCGCTGCGCCCCCGTCAGTGCCCCATGAGAAGCTGGCACCCTAAGCAGCCGCCCAGGTTGCATATAGGATTTACCATCATGTTTGTAATAAACTATTAAATGTTACATTGTTCTAAAGGCTATAAAATAAATAGGTATATAGTTCCTCTTGTAACGCGGAGAGGAATTCTGAATGCAAAAGAAATATATGTTCCGTCATTCTGCATTACAATCATGTGCACGATTTTCACCAAAACATTATGCCAGCAGCAGAACACTGGGTCAGTTAGTTATAACGTTAGATTGTTTCTAAATGGCAAACAGCTGATATGGCTCAGAAGATTTGGGGGGGGGGGGGGCATCCCTGATCATTCATCCGACGAGGACAGGAGCATGTGCGGTGGTACCCCGTTATCTCATTCATTAGAGCTAATCAGTTAGCCTCTGCTAAGAAAACCGTCCAAAAATATCACTCACGCATCGGCAACTAAAATGCACCGTGTTTTAATTTTTAAGTAGGGAATGACGGACCAAGAGAGCTCATTGCACGACAAGGCTGACATTTCAGCATGAAACTATGCGGTGGAACATTTTTTCCCCCTGCCAGCCCCCTCCTTGGGCTCCGGCTAATAAAATGTATTTCAATAGAAAGTATATTACTGTAATGGTGTTTCACCCATGCGAATACAGCTGGTCCTATCATACCGCAATCTCCCGTTTTAAAGTGAGTTTTGAACACGATCGTGCCGAAATGTTAAGATCAGACGCTAGATCTCTTTTTCCATTATGTCCTTCTCCTTTCACTATTGAGAATGAATGCGATCTTTAGTCCTTTTCCATGCCTGCTTTCAGAAAATGGGAAACGGGACCATTTTAACCCTTGTGTTTTGTGCACAGCAATTACTTTACAAGTAACCGCAATAAAGAACATATGATCAAATTACTTGTAATTAGCCCGCGTATAAACCAGTGCAAGTACTGATTTTTGGAAACATTTGGCTGACAAACGATACTCGAATGGACCATGAAGTTAAATGTAATTGTCTTCACTTACACTAATTAATGTCGTTGGGAGCCCTTGGTTGTAATTCAACGTGGTATCTAATTAGCCGAAATCTATACTGAGTTTTTAATGTCCGTGAAATGTGCATGCTGTTCTCTGTGTTCATTCATTCAATTCTGACTCCAATTTTTTTAAGCATCAGTGTTTAACAAGCCTGATCGTTCACGTTGTCTTATCTTCGTGTTTTTATATAGGCAAACGCATCATACCGGCTGGATATGTAAATGTCATGAATAATATTGGAGCCGTTTATGTGCCCTGATTTGTAATGATTTAGCAAATCAAATTTTGATACACACACACATTCCACACGAACATTATTTATAATACAACCTACAGCCTAAACATGTATCTGCTCTATCTACTGTGAATCCGCATGGCTGGAAATATGACAGAATTCAACAAGAGAATGTCAGCTGTAGATTCCATATAAGACACGTTCTTACCTGAATCTGGGAGAATCTTTGATACATTCTTCAAAGTCCACCGTCATTTTATATATTATTCCTCCCCCACTTTCAATCTGTAAATTTCATTGCCCGCAATCAAGGAGGGAATGGTACCGTGTAGTTCGCTGTCCTGCCTTAGTCCCGAGAAGCACTGTCAGGACTAGTCTCGCACACTAACCACACTGAGCACATTACTAGCTTTCGCCTGGTGCCGTAAGACTAAGGGACCGTCGTCAAACTTCTACTCCATTGATAAATCATGCCGAAAGACATGCGCGCGGCCAGTGATTTCATTAAAGAAAGCCAATGCGTGTTTTAATATTAATTTAGAAAATTAAGGTAGCATCACTGCATTATGACCTGGTTTCTGATAATTTCATATATGCTGGCAGACTGAAAAAGCATTATTGCATAAAATATAAATTAGGTATTTAATGTTGCGTGCCATACATTATTATTAGGTGTATTTAAATTTAAATTAACGAGAACAATCGGGTCTGATGCGATGAAAGAGCAATACAATAAATATATTATCCTCAAGGGCACCATGTTTAATTAACGGGATGTGTATAGGTTTACCGGGGAGCACTGCGGATTAATCTCAGCTAGATCTGTACAGTACCTAGCAATTAATTTAGCGCAGTATTACACTGAAGAAGACGCTAAAAATATACGTTAGTATTAACGCCAAAGACCTGCCTCTGAGCCTTAGGCTCTAACTAACGCATTTTACGATTAGTTGTTAAATTAGATTATATATCCCTGGGTAGGACAAAAAATTCTTCAATAACAAATTTGTAAACGCATTCAGTCTTATATATTTCTTAATTATACAAGGACGATTTTTATCTGGAATAAGGGACAAGGGTTATCTATGACGGTAAAGCTAAACATACGCTATTCTAGTCTCCCTAGATCGTTTACCTTAACTTTGGAGACTATCCCCAAGCGAATAAAATAAGCCACTTATGTACGTGACGTAAGCATCATCATCATCATAATCATCATCCAATGCACTGCACACTTTGATTAACTAGGTTACCTTTTCTGAGGGGTAGCACCAGTACCCTACTTCTCATATATGCTCATTTCAGGTCAGATATTAAATTACACTCTGTTCATATATGGAATGGCACGATACAGTGGCTCAGGTTTTTGTGCTGTACGTTCCACCACACCTCCAGGGTTGAGGGTTTGAATTCATACCCCTGTTCCATGTGTACGTGGGGTTTGCAAGTTTACTCTGTTTTCTGTGGGTTTAAACTGGGTATTCCAGTTTACTTCTACAGTTCAAAAACATCCAGCAATTTCTAAAATGATCCATAATGCGTGTGAGAGCATGTTCCCTGCAATGGACTGGCATCCTGTTCCACTAACATGTCAGTTGAATGATTAATGGACGTACAGTGCTTTTCGAAAGTCTTAGGCAGTCACAAAAAATGACATGTATATGATCGTTATGTTGGTGTGAAACTATAATATTATGTCTGTCAAAGTGTGTCAGCTTAGCTGTTTCAAAACATCTCCTAAAGTCACCCCAGTGTTTGTAACAGCCATCCAATACACCCATGTAGTTTTTGACTCGTCCACCACCCCATGTTTGGCTAGTCAATACCCCATTGAGTTATTCAACAAATCACGTTAATTAATTAATTGGGCTGGTGGAAAATTTTAACGAATGCATAGAATGGAGGTGACCCTACGGAGAGGTTTGGGAACCAAAGTGGAGGTTACCTAGCTATCCAGCAAGATGTCAGGAGCTTTTTGGAGAACAGACGAAATTCTTGTTTATTTTTTACTGTGTTACTGTTAATTTGCATGTGTTGTAACGTTTTTATGTCTGCGTGTGTGTGTTTGAGCAAATTTTCTAAAAAGATTCATGAAACATTTTCTTTGACAGCCTTCTTTTGCATAGTGCTGTTTAATGCTGGCGAAAAAATATTGTTTAGCCATTTTTAAGGCAACTCGGCTATTTAATCAATGAATATCATTTTATCAGAGCTGTGTGACCACAGTATCACACATTACCCATGAAAATACTGATAAGCTATATTCAAAACTCTGACTCTGAGGTATTAATATAGTTTTCTCAACAATCCAACGTATAACATAAATATAGATCATTGTATCAGAACATGATTTATTACATGTTAGCTGTAAATGCCTTTAAGAGCTTTGTCATTGCCCGCAGTTATTCATAGTCACAAAAACATATTTCTGTCAAATCCCAGGTTTGAAAAATTGTAAGAACTGAAGCCCACTTGCATATATATATATTGAAACCAGGGTGCCGTAAAGGGTGGTGGGAGCCGGGGGTGGTTAGGACTTTCTTAAGTGACACGGGCCCTAAAATACTGGAGAACATAATTGCATTGGGGGCCCAACATGATATGCTCTCTATCAGAGATTTGTGGCCCCATGGAAGCATATCATTTTGGGCCCCAAACCCAGACCAATCAAATTACGTTTGAAAATTTTTAGGGCCCCTGTCAGTCAGGGGCCCTTCGAATCATCCTAACTTCCCCCCGTTATGGCGCCCCCTGTCCAAAAATGCACTTCTGCATGTTCAGTGCAGTTCAGCTATACAGAAAACATGCTATACCCTAACATACCCACTAGCGAATTTGCAGGATGTCACTTCATTTTTTTCTATTGTACCAGGTCTGGTTACTGTAATCCTATCAGTGGGTGCCATGAGGGCCCACCAATGTTTTTTTCATAATTAAAAAAGGAGGAAACAGTCATTTCCTGTCCTTCCCACGCTGCACCTGCTCCATTTAGACAATAACCATCCACCTGCATAGTTTCTGCTCAGTGTCTGGTAATGCTAATTTTCACTCATTTTTTCATTCATGGTCACGATAAGAAATGTCAGTCCTGAAATCTGTCCATTGATCCATTGCACTGTCAGCACTGCAGCTTGTGGGCAGACTTTTAGCCTTGGTATTTCCTTGCCTGCCACAAAACATTCTTGTGCCTTCAAAGCCAGTTAGTCTGTCACATGAAAGAGGCTTTCATTTGTAACATTTGGCAGACAAAATGTGTAGTGAGACGATGGTCATAATGGAAATGATTGCTGTTATTTATAGCAGTTGTACCAGTTAACTAAATCGCTGCCATTTGCTATGAAAATTAAGCACCGTGGAATGCTGTTTGGTGGTTGGTTGATGTATTCTCTTGACACCTCTTTCTAGAGTTTAATTTGAAAGACTCGCATCCCCTTCCCAGGGTGGACGGTACCTCAGATGCGTTAGCGGGTTCCCTGTGGTTTAGTCTCTAACGGTTACTGGTAGGTTGAGGTTACTTAGGAGGACCAGGAGAAAATGGCCTTCATGACAGGCAGGGGGTCTTTACCAGAGGCGGTCGATGTCTTTGGGTCTCGCTAACGCAGCACATGTGTGCATGGTGTTCCTAGATGATGTGCTGATAGACAGCCCCACGTTTAAGGACCGTCTGTCTAGGTTTTTGCCTCCAGATGATGTGGTATTCCTGGGGCATATTGTTTCTCGCCATGGCCTACAGCCGGACCCTCGAAACACAATTTGCAAAAGAAAGTCTGTAGACTTAGCAAAGAGCCTGCAGTTTCTTATACTTTAATTCATCACCTTAATTTAATTTACATCTCAATTTAGTAAATGATCATGAATATGAAAAATCATGGCATATAATTCCCCTTTGTAATATGTTACAGTTCTCTTAACATTGCCAGAGATATATATTTCATTCATGTTTTTTTTTTTGTAGTTGTTCTCACTACTGATTATTTCACATGATAGGGACAGCATGATTCCTTTACATCAAAGAAAGCATATTCAGTTTCAGGGGAATTCTTATAAATCGCCTGCAACTGAAAAGTAATCAGTTAATGTGACAATATGAACCTATTGTTTCACACAGGATTACTGGTATAACTGAATAAAAGCACCAGATGGAAGAATTCACAATGTGATTTTCTTTTTAACAAACTGAACAAATCCTTAAGAATACTATTGTTTTTTTTTCTGGGTGTTACTGTGATTATGAACATGAAATTCCTCATGAAAGTGAAACTTTGGGATTGGATGACAATACCTGCCGACTGTACGCACTGGTACGCACTGGTACGCACACTGGTTTCATCAGTGTATATTTCTTTGGCAGATGCAGTGATGTACAATTGAAAAAAAGTGGAGTCACCTAGTCCCTGGAGCAACTGATATCGCTGCTCAAGAGCCTGATGGTGAAATCACTCCGCGATCCATGGGCTTTGAACCGGTGACCTTCTGACTGCAGGCAGAGAGTACTAAGGCACCGAGTCACACGCCGCCTCAGCAGTTTTATCAATGAAACCTGGAGTCCATATGATTTACACAGGGACCCACAGCACAGGGGTGTAAGCTTATTTCATTCCTGAGCAACACTTTTGCCAACAGACAGGCCCCCTTTGTCTGGCTTGCAGATGCTTAGCATCAGTTCTGCACTGCGCTGCGTTTCCCAGAGACCCCAATGCAAACACAGGGAAGCAGCCATACCGGCCTCCTGTGATTTATCTGTTTATGCTATATCTTCAGCATTTTTTTCATTGAATGGTAGCAAAATGTTCACAATGTACAGTACAGTGGAAATAGTAGCTATTCGATTAATGCATCAAAGCAATACAGATCCTTGAATGAATTTAGGCAAGGAGTTGTCGTATCATCAGAAGCATTGGATGCCTTTTACGCTTGAGCTATAATAAAAATACAACGATGACAGCACTGGTAAAAAGTGCAGAAAACTCCTAGTTTTTAAAAGGTGAGAAATGCCTCAAAAATTGCAAATTAAAAATAACCCAGACAAAATTTTGCAGCACATGAAGTTTCAGCCAAAAGACACGCAGGGCATCTCCTCTCCAGATGCTATGGATCACTCATTCTGCGTATGGTTTCAGGAAGCTGATTTGACGTTGATTCTGGCCACCCGACAGAGAATACTGCTTGGTTTACTTTCTTCCAAAAAAGAAAAAGAATTTAGAACCAGAGTCAACTGTGACTACTCTTTGCCGACAGACATAATTAACAAAATGTGTCACATGCATAAAAAATACAGAATATTAACAATAATAACAAAAAATAAAGAATTACAGATTGCATAAATTATTTGGACTGCTAGCTTGAGTCTGGGCTTTGAGAGGCAGCTCCGACTGTTAATCACAGATGGTGAAAA